GATTTCTAATAAAATAAAATAAATTGATTGGCACTGAGCAAATAGTTTAGTATCACTGATCTTGTTAAGCTTACCTGGAATTGCAGGATGTCACACATCATATGCAAAGTGGCAAAAAACTTCCCTTCTTCTAGAAACTTAGCCAGACCTAAAGCTGCAGGGTCATTTCTTTCACTGGTTTCTCTGTGCAGACTGATAATAATGCTTGGATATATTTGTCTGAGTGTCTCACAAGCTGCTTCATGTGAGAGCCATCTAACAGCTTTCGCCTGCTTTGGCTTTAGTACTTGGTTGGTCATTGCTTTCTGTGAAAAAAAAGACATTCAGCATACATGAATTCTTGTTTATTAAGACAAATATAGTATAACTGTTCAAAACATGTTTTTTTCAGCAATTTTGACTACTTGCTCATTCAACACTTGTTTTTTGCATATGAGGAAAAGTAAGCAGCTTGTGTGGAAGGCTGATAAGTTTGCAGTAGTGAGTGAAATAATAAAACATGTCTTGCCTGTATTTCTTTTAATCCACTTGAACGTACAGGTGAATATTCGTAAAATCTATATAAATTGTCAAGCAAGTCGTTGAACTTCTTAATGTACGGTACAGAATTGGCAGCCTGACCTACAGCGAGAGCCAGTTTATGGGCAACACAGTGATTTGAAATCATGAAACTGGAAACCTATATTAGAAAAAATAAACATAATGTAAATTGATAGTTAAGTGCAATTGAACATTCATGTACACAACTTGGATCCAGAAAATGAAAATTAAACTAAATGAAAAAATAACTTACTTCATCTTTGAGTCTTTTTGCTACGCCACTCCCCCCCCCCAACCATCACTGATGCTCCATCACTTCCAAAACCTGCTAGTTTACCATCCAATATAATGTTGTGTTCTTCAGTAAATGTTTTGATTGCTGTAGTGATCGTCTCGGCTTTTCTGTCTTGAACCTAGAAATAAAATTGTATGAAATATTAATTTACAAGAATTAACCATAACATCATTATTTGTTCTGTCTGTTCTGCTGATATAAATAATAGCTGTAAGATACTTACCTCAACTGTTCCCAGAAAAGAAACTTTGGTAGTGCCATTAGTCTGCAGATGTTTGTCATAAATGATCAGTTGTTTCATTACTGCCACATCAGTCGTTTCGTCAATTAATAAAGATATAAATGGGCTTCTGTCAAATTCTTCCAAAACATCCTGTCTGATAACTTCACCTACAATAAATAAAAATAATCATCTTTTCTGTGCCAATAATTTTTTTGCAAGTTATATATGTCGTGTATTAATTAAATAATTAACTTACCTATACTTAAAACCATTTCTTGGACAGTCCTTTCAGAGGTGTAACTATAATTGTGTTCACAACTACTCATTGCATCAAAGTAACTACAGCCCAGTGACTTGGCAAGATCCATCAGATGAACAAAGTTGGTACTATGAGGAATTTATCTTTTCATGAGGAAATAAACCAATCGCAGAGCTCCTAATAAAAACAAAAATACAATCAATCATTACATGCGTTGAATTAAAGTACAGACAACTTTATAAATAATATTAAAATTTTTGAGCTATGTTAGATCGAATATGAAAAATTCTTGCCTATAAATGCTTCGGTTTCAACAGAGATAACTCTATCAAATGCAGCAGTTATTCCTCCATCTTTAGTACTGACAATGCCTGCGTTTTCTAACTGAAGTGCTACGCCATGCATAACACGTTTTTTCGTGCTGCTTTATCTTGTCTTCTCTGAACTATGTACATGGCTCCCGGGGGGGGGGGGTCACTCTATATGCAGTTACTACCCCATGTGCGTTCCAAATTTAGTGGGAAAGTGGGGGTGTTTTTCACCTTCCAGAGCGGCCCGCGCGGGAGGCAAATAGGATCCCTTCAAAATACTAATGTCTGAAATAGGCCCCCAGAAATAAACTCACATGGTTGCTGTGCCCGTTTCACCCCCTTTGGAATATTCTACTTTCACAGCCTAATCGCAGGTTTTTCGAAAAACGTCGAAAAAACAAGAATTAGTAGAACTGTTTCTATTTTGGGCGGATTATTGATAGAGAATAATGTCTTTATTACAAAAATGCTGAAAAACCGCGAGTTTTTGCCAGAGTTATTTTTTTATCGACGAAAAACTGCGAACTCGGCAAATTTGGTTGCACAACTTCCCTCTATCATATACACCCAGCGACACCGATGCCAGCTGACTGGTTTTGTAGTAGCAGTGTTCAAATGACCATGTTTTTGCTACGTTGCGCACTGGTAGGAGATCTCCTGCGCCGAATTGTTACACTGTATCAATGTAATCCCAACGCAACTTTGAACTTTGAATGAACTGTAAATGCTGCCATCATTCTAGAAAATACTATCGCAAAACGGATGGAAATAATAAATGATGTAACAGCAGAATACGTCCTAGTAATAAACTAAGTGACTTCTAAAGACTGAATGGCTTTTGCGAACTTCGTATAGGGCCCATTTAATTATAAACCGACTTAGCTTCACGTTTATGTCACACCATGGAAACAGCCAAAAACATGTTGCTTGTTTGTGAGCGGAGCGGATCGCCAACCAGCCTGTTTCAATATGTGTGACATATTATGATACAAAGATGAAGAAAATTAAACAAGTCTTGTTATAACAAGAATTCCCATTCAATATAACAAGCCATTCAAGCACAGGCCCTGTCAGTTATCAAATTTAAGATTTGTTAATAGTAATACAGTTGGAACATTAAACATGTCAGAAGTATGGATGCAGAAGATGCTCGATTATGATGTTTTTTTATATTAAAATGATTTACATCTTGTATCTGATCGTCAAACAATTACTTGTCCATATTGAAAAATATTGCTCTAGCAATTAACAGCATTAATTAAATACATCTGTATATCTATAACATCATGTAAAACAAATGTATATAAAATTTGAACATAATCAGTCAAAGCATATCAGAGATATGGCTTAAAAGTGCATTAATTTAAATAAAATGGCCGCTAGTCAGCCATTTTGAATCTGATCTGAAAAATAAAATCAGCAACAGGAACGTGCATCAGGAACCATAATCTCTAATGTATGTGCCAAGTTTGAACAAATCCATCCATAATTGCCAAGATCCAGTTCTGGAATGCCAGAATTGCTTGATTTTCGAGCACAAAAATGGCTGCTATTTGGCTGTTTTGAGTCGGATAGTCAAATCAATACTTCTATGTCATAATGTATATATAAAATTTGCTCATAATCAATCAAAGCATAGCAGAGATATGGCACTAGAACTCCATTCATTAAAACAAAATGGCCGCCAGTCGGCCATTTTAAATTGGATCTGAAAAATAAAATCATGTGCGTTAAGGTAATGTACAACACGTGTACCAAGTTTGATAAAAATCCATCTATAAATGCTTGATTTTGATGATTTTTCAGCACAAAAATGGGCACCAATCTTGAATCAGATCGTGAAACAAATTGATGTGCATATGTATATAACGTATTGCGGAAGCAATATGATTTGTGTCGGGAACGCAATCGACAGTGCGCCATCAACGGTGCTGGTGTGCGTAGTGTGATGTCACTCCTCGTTGCGCAAGGTGTGACATCACTCTTCTTCAAGGCAGACACCACAGAAATGTAAGTGTTTTTTCTTAGTGTGGTAAATTGTTGAAATAATACTAATTTTTCATTGGTCTCCGCTTCACCTGGTATATTTCTTAACCCCAATACATCCAAGATTTGAATGACGGTTATTTTGTGTGGTATATCATTTGGGTTTAATTCCTAGAAGCGATTTTAATTTGTAGTCTGCCGCGGGTTCATTTGTTTAATTCGACTGCCATTTTATTACGTGTAAGGTGAAGGATGTGCGCGGCCAAAAAACCAACGGTTCTTATTTTAGCACACTCTTTTGTAAGGCAACTCAAAACCTGCGTGCATTAGCACCACCAGCAATATAATGTGTCACCCACTTTTAATTTGAGTCAAATGGATATTTAATTCCATTGTGTTGGCGATCGAACGTTATCGTCATTGGTAACTTTTCACCTTAGTTTGATGAGCTGGGTTTTTCCTGATATTATTGTTTTAGAGATAGGTCCCAGATGGCATTCACTTGAACAAATTGGGTAATTATATATACCCTTGATGTGTTCGTGGGGCATTTTTGCAGGCATAGAGGTTTTTAAAGTCGGCAAATGTTTAACTTGTAGTGGTTAGGTAGTTAATAAATGCATACTGTTACATAAATGCAGAGTTTCTGCTTTTATTTTAAATTTTGCAGACTGTTGATCCTATCTCTATTATATGAGTGTGGAGTTTCTGCTTTATTTTAATCTATGTGGAATGTTGATCTTATCTCTCTTACACAAGGGTGGAATTTCTGCTTTATTTTTATTTTGCAGACCTTTGATCCTATCTCTATTACATGAGTGTGAAGTTTCTGCTTTTATTTTAAATTTTGCAGACTTTTGATCTTATCTCTATTATGAGTGTGGCGTTTCTGCTTCAATATACATTTTTTGCGTGATCCTAACTCAGTTAAATGCAGTCAGTTGATCCACCATAATGCTGTGGGAGTTTCTACCTTTTTTAAAATTATTTTTCACTAAATAGTATCATCTGTTTCTGTGCATCTCTGCACAGATTCACATGTTTGGTAACAGTAATGCTGCTGCTTAGCTTAGTCTCTTTATCATAGATCATGGCACACGCGAACGTGTAACACTGAAAAGAGTTGTCACCACCACCGAAATATACCATGGCAACCGAGGAGAGGAAAAACCAAGCAACCTGTCTCCATGGAAACAGCAGCCATATCTGATGTTGGTGCAACACCAGTATCAACACAGGATGCGCCAGTGCAGCCTTCTCCTAGTATACCAGCGAGTCAACCAAGCACATCACAAGCATTTGCAGAGACAGAAACAGTGGTTGCGAATGCTGTTCTGGATACAGTTAATGAAATAACACAATTTTATGTACAGAATCAGGTGTGAAGAGGGAATGTTAGTCATTGTAACTGTTCCATTAGGTGCTAGTGTGCCAGACAAAGTTAAAAACATAACATTTTTGGAACTTTTTCCCGTTGTACTGGCAATTGAGGACTGGGGTGAGCTCATGTCTAACCAGGCAATTTTGTCTGCAGTGTGACCTTTACCATGTTGACCTCATTATGCACGTATTTCCGCGCGCACCTCATTATATTATGTACATTCATGAATATTTGATACCAACGAATTTCCTGCAGAATAAACAAGTCGGGGTGATTTCGCACTAACACCTCCATGTCGCGAAATTTTATATTTTATTCAAACTAAAAAAAAACAAATGAATCGCCCTGACTGTGCCAGACTAGGATCAGGCTATAACTACCTGTTATTTAAAGCACTCTTTCTGTTCATGTTCTATGCATGTACGTGCATTGGGGAGGTACATTCAATGTAGAACTACATGTTTGTGGCTTAAGCCCCCAATATTATAAGGGTCATAGTTTCCGTACAGGAGCTGCATCAGAGGCAGCAAGTTCTGGCTTGTCTCGATGCACAAATCAGAAGTCTCGGAAGGTGGAAATCAGATGCATTTAAACTGTACACCCGTCAATATGCACAATTTTAGTCTAGCTATTAGCATGGACAGTAATTGTTTCCCTATATCCTGGTTGGGACAGCATGGGCAGCCCTTATGTCATCCCTGGGTGTTTTTGCTAATAATTTGTTTTATTTACATAGTTTTGGTGTGGGCTGACACAATGCGTGTCTGGTGGCATAATTTGGCCCCAACCTCAGTGCCATTAAATTTGTAATTTGTTCAACAAAATTGATTTTCTACTTTTAGCCAAGAATTAGGGATTTTAGGAAAACTCCATTGTTTATTCAATTATCTGGATATGTTACATTGTATTCAAGATTTTTTAATAACTTTGTTGTTTATTCAAGCAATTTGTTCACTTTATCCAAATAGTTAGGGTTTTTAAATAAACCGGCCACACCTGGGGTATCCGAGTTGCAGTAACCCAGTTGTGGTTCTTTTTTCAGCCAAGTACAGGTGTATTTCATTGTGTAAATGGGTTCCAGACACAAAAATATTATGTATGATGTATGTGTGAAGTTTGATTGTGATTGGTCCAGGCATGTCTAAGATACAGGTCCGGATGCACGCACAAACATAAGTTCTGATGTCTTGAGTCTTTTTATTCTGGGCTTGAAATAATTGTACATATAATGTTTGATAGTAACATGCAATGTAAATGTAGAGTTTGATTGCAAACAATCAAAAAATAATCAGAGAGAACAAAATTTCAGTATTAAATCTCATCCGAAAAAGGTTATGGTCCCGTTATGTTCAACGTATGTATCACTTTCTGGAATGGCAGTAATGATTGATATTGATCAACTTTTAGCACAAAGAGGGCAGTCATTTGGTC